TTTGCCCAAACCTGACCTTTTCCCATGCTTCTTAAATCAAGAATAACTGGATCTGTCCCAGTAGCACATCTCTGCATTTTTATGAATTACAGGGAGAAGAAATCCAAGATCAGTTTTTAACCAAGTTATTTGACAAACTATATCATACCATTTGTATGATGACTTGTGGCAACAATGACATAAAAGTGAATTTGGTAAATCTTAGAATCTCAGCAACTAGGTTATGCTCTCCAGGATTCTAAAAGACAAGCTCTGTTACAAAATAAAGGTAAAATATAAAAAAGTCCCATGTGGTAAATCTAATACACAGAAAAGCCTTCCGTGATTTCAAAATATATAACACGACACCCCGTACTTTGAACTAAATTGTAAAGGTGACGGAATCCGTTAAAACTTAACGGAAATGACTTATTGGAATCTAAAAAAAAATTTTATACCTAATTTTTAACAAATATACCTGTTCTACCCCTTAACCCTCAATTCTCTCTATCTAGAGAATAAAACAAATAATTTTTTTGAGTTGTCTTTTGCTTAATTATATCAAGGCATTTTGGTCATTTCGTCCATTTCCGTTAAGTTTAACGAATTCCGTCACCTTTACAATTTAATTCAAAATACGGGGTGTCGTGTTGTATATTTTAAAACCACGAGGGGCTTTTCTGTGTATTAGATTTACCACAGGGAGTTTTTTTGTTTTTTACCCCAAAATAAATAGCATGTGATGAATCCCTCTAAATATGGGTAAAATAATTATGCTCTCCAGCACATCTCATTGTTGTCACCTTGCTTCTTGAGTATGGTTTGAGGACAATGTACATCATTTAGATAGTAACTGGGCAGTTTTCCCTTTCGAAATAAGAAAAAGGTAGCAACCAGATTTAAAGATAATTGAGAGCACAAAGAAAAGCTCAGAATTCAGATTGAAATTCTTGCCTTGGCACCCCCTCACCCCCTCATTAAGAGTCAATTGCATTTGCATATGCACTGAAACATTATTAGTCAATTCTACAAGTTCCTATAAACTTCTTCCCCTCATTAGTTTCAACTACTGCTCTAATTTTGATTACTCCACTCTTGTAGAGCAAAAAATGAACATTCTAGGAAGGGATGTTTTCTAATAAGCTTCTGTCTTGCATGCTTTTCACAAAATTCTGGACAGGAAAGACAAATAACTATCATGCTTTTTCTTTTGCAGGTTCAAAATAAACTCTTGATGCTCCTATTAAGTAACATCGGAACTGTCATTTCCAGGATCTATAGGAAGACATGTTGGATAAGGCGGCCTGAACAATGCTAACACTTGAACACTTGAGTCGTGCTTGAAAGCACTGTCCTAAGAAACTATTTCAGAGTATTGAAACGTTTCCCCAGGATTAAACAAGTCTTCCTCTAATTTGTAAGAGGGATGTAGAACCAGCAAAATATGAAACAAAACCAGCAGGTGAAATAAGAATATTAAGAAGAGCAGATGGAGAAAGGGAGGAGAGAATTTGCGAAGCATAGACTTCGTTCTTCGGTGTGTAAATTGAACCTGCCAAATGGTTCTATTTATAGGCTTCATGATGATACAGAATACGGAAGAGGTAAGCTGATTTCTCGTGAGAATAGGCGTGCATCCGTGCCAGACTTTATCCTTTGAAGTAGTCAAAGGTCTATCCTTTGTTGTGAGCTATTGGAAAAAGGCTATTGGAAAATGTCAGACCATCGGAAGGCTACTTGACCGAAGATGTCTCACAATCTGATTTCTTGAATTTGGCCTTCAGCAAAATCTTGTCTTTGACCAATTCTTCCCTCAAAATAGGAACAAATATTTCTGATGAAGTTTTATCAGATGAGACCGTAACAAACATAAAAAAAATCTTTTGGAATATCTATTTTTACAACAATCTCCCACCTATTTCAAAAGATTTTAGACAAAAGAGTATGAACATCTGCTGGATTTGTTTGAGCTTAATGTAATCAGTTTGGTGTCTTTTGGACTATGAACCAAACTTAAATTGATAAAATATGTCTTACAGAATTATTGGTGAAAAAATATCTTTCTATGAACCAATAATTCTTGTTGTATGACAGAGATCTTATCAATCACATTACAACCCATAATTTTGCTGTTCAATGCAGTTTTGCGCATTTAGGCCATGCGCCTGCCTGGCTATTCATGAGAGCTCTAAAGATTTGGCCAAAAAATCTTATAGGAGCGGCCCCACTCCACTCTCATATAGGTGAATTTATCAAGTGTATACTGCTATAGATACACCTCCCTAAAGAGACATAAATTCATTAAGAGTATTAAACTCAGCCTCACGATTGCTAGCAGTTAAAGCACTCATCTCAGAAGGGACTTAAATTTCAAGTGCTTTACTGTCAATATCGACTTGTTATTACCCATATGAACCTATTTCATGGGATCACCAATCACATAGGTTGGGTTACCATCTCTATTGACAACCGTTGGCCTAAGTCCCATCTCCCTTGTAGTTTGAAGAATTAATTTTCTTCCTACAGGTTTAGTCAGAGGATCGGCCAAATTCAACTCTGACTTCACAAAATCAATGGAAATAATTCCATCTCTAAGCAGCTGCTTTACGACATCATGTCTCAATCTCATGTGTCGACTTTTACAATTATAAGATTTATTTTTTGCAATAGCAATTGCCGCTTGACAATCACAGTGTATAGACACAGGAGGCAACAGTTCCTTAATAGGAGGAATATTGGCTAAGAAATTTCTTAACCAATCTGCCTCAGAACCAGTCAGCTCCAGAGCTATGAACTCCGATTCCATAGTTGACCGAGCAATGATTGTCTGTCTGGCTGACTTCCATGCTACTGCACCACCACCAAGGGTGAACACATAACCACTAGTGGATTTTGTGTCATTTGAATCAGAGATCCAATTAGCATCACTGTAACCCTCTAATACAGTGGGAAATCCACTATACAGGATACCAAAATTCATGGTACCTCTCAAATATTTCATTAGTCTGACTAATGCAAACCAATGCTCACGATTGGGATTGTGAGTATATCTACTCAGTCTACATACAGCATAAGCTATATCTGGTCTAGTGAAATTCATCAGATGCATCAGACTCCCAATAATCTGAGCATATTTAGACTGAGCAATTGGGTCACCATTATTTTTCTTTAACTGAGTGTTAGCGTCATAAGGAGTACTAACAGGTGTCACATCATAATTTTCAAACTTCCTAAGAAGTCTCTCTGTATAATGTTCTTGTGTCAACATTATACCATCACCTTTCCTTATGATTTTAACACCCAATATTATTTTGGCTTCACCCAAATCTTTCATATCAAAATTAGAAGACAAAAAATATTTAGTACTATTTACAATATCTAGACTAGTACCAAATATAAGCATGTCATCCACATATAAACTGATTATCACATATTGATCATTTATAATTTTGACATATACACATTTATCCACTTCTACAGATGAAAATCCATCTTTCATCAATACTTGATCAAATTTCTCATGCCACTGTTTAGGAGCTTGTTTTAGGCCATAAAGAGATTTAATTAGTTTACAAACCTTATTTTCTTGTCCAGATACAATACATCCCTCAGGTTGAAACATATAAATTTCTTCTTCTAAATCACCATTTAAAAAGGCTGTTTTGACATCCATTTGATGAATAACAAGTTTATGGATAGAAGCTAAAGCAAATAAAACTCGAATAGACGCAATTCTAGTTACTGGTGCAAATGTATCAAAATAATCAATATTTTGTTTTTGAGAAAATCCTTTTGCTACTAAACGAGCTTTGTACTTTTCTATAGAGCCATCAGAGTTATATTTTCTTTTAAAAATCCATTTGTAACCAATAGGTTTTGCACCAGGAGGTAAGTCTACCAAAATCCAAGTTTTATTTGACAAGATAGAATCTATTTCAGATTTAATTGCTTCTTTCCAAAATTTACACTCAGGAGAAGAAATAGCATCGGAGTATGTTAAAGGATCATTATCAACAAGAAAGGTTTGGAATTCATTTCCAAATGAAAATTCTTTTCTTGGCCTTTTGCTCCTTCTTAATTCCTCAATTGGAATAATTTCCTTACTTATTTCAACAGGTGCATGAGAAATTTTACTAGACAGTGGAAAAATATGTTCAAAAAATTCAGCATTCTTTGTCTCAATAATTGTATTACAATCAAATATATCACTTCTTAACACAAGAAATCTATATGCAGCACTATGTTCAGCATATCCAATAAACATACAATCAGAAGTTTTAGAACCTATTTTCCTTTTCTTAGGTTCAGGCAACAAGACTTTAGCAAGACACCCCCAAACTTTTAAATATTTCAAATTTGGTTTATAATTTTTCCATAACTCATAAGGTGTTTTGCCAGTCTTTTTATGTGGGATTCTATTTTGTAAGTGACATGCAGATAATATAGCTTCTCCCCATAAATTATCTGGAGCATGAGAACTAATTAACATAGAGTTCATCATTTCTTTTAATGTTCTATTTTTCCTTTCAGCTACTCCATTAGATTCTGGAGAATAAGGTGGAGTTATTTCATGTATTATGCCTTCCTGTTCACAAAGGTTATCTAAAGTTAAATATTCTCCACCCCTATCTGATCTAATTCTTTTTATCCTTTTATTAAGTTGATTTTCTACTTTAGACTTATAGGATAAAAAGGCATTATAAGTATCATCTTTATTTCTAAGTAAATAAACTTTGGTATATCTAGAATAGTCATCTATAAAGGTGACATAATACCTTTTCCCACCTCTAGTCATTGTTTGTTTTAAATCACCTAAATCAGTATGAATTAAATTTAATAACTCAGTTTCTCTATGGACAGTTATACAACTTTTCTTTGTTATTTTAGCTTCTGCACATATTTCACATTTGTCCATATTATCATTAATACCATAAATTAGACCACATGATTGCATTTTCTTTATATAACCAATATTAACATGTCCTAATCTAGCATGCCATAAAGAAATGGAATCAACAATATAAGCAGAAGAAGATGCATTTTCATTTATCACATTGGAAATATTAAGTACAAAAAGTCCCTGATTACAATAGCCTTTCCCTACAAACACATTATTTCTTGTCATTACAATCCTTTCAGATTCGAATGATACTTTCACCCCAACTTTTCCAAGCAAAGCCACAGAAACAAGATTTGCCCGAATATTTGGAACATGCAGCACATCATTAAGAGCCAAAGTATTTCCTGAAGTGAGTTTCAATAGTACTTTGCCCTTACCCAGAACTTTAGCAGTTCGTGAATCTGCAAGGTAGACTATTTTTTCATCATCCCCTATTGAAGTATAGGAGGAAAACGCTTCTCGATTTGCACTTATGTGCCGAGTAGCCCCAGAGTCTACCACCCATTCTTTAACATTAGCTGCAATGTTCACTTGAGAGATGACAGCAGCAATTATATCATCTCCTTCGGTTAAGTGCACCTTAGGAGGGTTACCATTTGCTCTGTCACCTTTATTATGTCTGCATTGGACTGCATAATGTCCTGGTTTTCCACAATAAAAGCAATTGCCTTTCTTCTTCTTAAAGTTGGGATTGTTAGGCTTGACATTAAAATTTTTGGGCTTGTAGTTCTGGGATTTATTGGCGTACCTTTTATTATTGCTTTGCACCAAATTGGCTTTGTAGGCCATCTCCTTTGCCTTGGTAGCTCTCAACTCCCTTTTGCTTGAATCCTCAATGAGGATGTGTTTCACGAGCTCATCCATGGTATAGTTTTTCTCCTTGTGTTTCAAGTTGTTTTTATAGTCGGCCCATGACTCAGGTAGCTTTTCAATCAGCATGCCAGCAGCGAATTTTTCAGGAAGATTGATGTCTTCATTTTTCAAGTCCTCTAGCAGCATTTGATATTCAGTGATTTGGATTTTCATCTCCTTGTCATCCGTCATTTGCCATTGGTTATATTTTCCTACGACGAATTTTTGCTTGGTTGCATCTTCGGCAGTAAACTTTGTTACCAAGCCTTCCCAAATTGCCTTGGCTTCTTTGCTGCTACAATAGACGTCAAATAATTCATTAGAGAGTGTTTGAAGGATAGTGTGTCGACATACCTTATTGGCATATTGCCATGCTTCTTGAGTCTTGGCATCCGCAGTTGCGGAAGGTTGAGATTCAGTGAGCGCATAAGCTACTCCATGAATGTCAAGTAGAGAGTGCACACGTTCTTGCCATCTTTTAAAATTTTCATTGGCGAAAATTTCAATTTTGGATACATCTGGAAAGGGCTTGGCGAATGGTAGTGCCACTGCAACAGTTGCTGATGAAGGCTGCGGGGTGCTAACATTGTCAGATGCCATAGTTTCTTAGATTGTTGGAAAAGGCGGCCTGAACAATGCTAACACTTGAACACTTGAGTCGTGCTTGAAAGCACTGTCCTAAGAAACTATTTCAGAGTATTGAAACGTTTCCCCAGGATTAAACAAGTCTTCCTCTAATTTGTAAGAGGGATGTAGAACCAGCAAAATATGAAACAAAACCAGCAGGTGAAATAAGAATATTAAGAAGAGCAGATGGAGAAAGGGAGGAGAGAATTTGCGAAGCATAGACTTCGTTCTTCGGTGTGTAAATTGAACCTGCCAAATGGTTCTATTTATAGGCTTCATGATGATACAGAATACGGAAGAGGTAAGCTGATTTCTCGTGAGAATAGGCGTGCATCCGTGCCAGACTTTATCCTTTGAAGTAGTCAAAGGTCTATCCTTTGTTGTGAGCTATTGGAAAAAGGCTATTGGAAAATGTCAGACCATCGGAAGGCTACTTGACCGAAGATGTCTCACAATCTGATTTCTTGAATTTGGCCTTCAGCAAAATCTTGTCTTTGACCAATTCTTCCCTCAAAATAGGAACAAATATTTCTGATGAAGTTTTATCAGATGAGACCGTAACAAACATAAAAAAAATCTTTTGGAATATCTATTTTTACAACAAGACAAAGCAACAGCAACAGAATCAATAATGCTTGCCAAAATAAAAGAAGAATAGCACAACTGTCGATGGTGTCACTAGACAACTATGCATCCAATAAAACAACATTGTTGGTCCAATTGAATATAGTGTTACTAGACTTGATATGAGATACGCAATTTTATTTCAGACTTCTCGTAATTTCATCTGAGAAGAAAAGAGAAATGGAATCCTGCATCTGCTGCTTAAATAAGTTACTCCTGCTTCTCATTCCCACAGCAATTTTGAAAACTAAGCTTCTTGGTTTTGTAACTTATTGTCACAATAAAGCTACACCTGTGTCATGAGTTAGGCGAAGAAGTACCTGTAGGTCCCAAATTACTTTGTAACTGACTCCCCTATTTGTACCTCCAGTGCATTTCAACAGATCCCTAAACTCAGTCCCCTCTTTCTCAAGGAATGCCCAATAGTTCTGAGAAAATTAAGAAAATTTATATGAAACAATGAAACCAACAAACAAACAATGATGTAAAACTCTGAAAAAAGTTTAAACGAATAAAAAAAATGTCCAGATTCAACAAATATGCCACATTCTACAAATCTTGTCTGTTGAATATTTAAGGTTTTGCAGTTAATCATACATTCCTAGTAAATAGATTCAGAAGAAGCATATCTTAAAAAGTATTGATGAAAAGAATAAACACGCTTCTGCTTACATCTAAATCTTCCTCAACTTCCTGGACCACATAAGTATCTAGATAAACTTCAAGATCTCTTGATGACTTGACATGAATCTCCACAAAGATAACATGCTCTATTGGTTTTATTCTTCTCATTCGATTTGGTAGTTTTCATTTCCTGTTTTTAGGACCCTTTAGGCTCGCCTCCCCTTCTCAACATATGCTTACTTCAGGGAAGCATTGCTATAGAAAGACAGCTATATCCTGACAGTGAAAAGCAAGAATAATGAAGATTACCTCCAGGGTCATTCGCATGAAGCGCTTGGTTGCACTGGTGATTCAACAGAGCAGACTAGTCTGTAGTAGGAGACACTCTCAAGTTTCAATCATCGCAAGTGCACTTTTTTTGAAAAGATTATATCCGTCCGAGAATTACCATTGTCATTCTGGTGCTGCACGTTGTTACTGGAGCAATGCAACCAGCTTTCTCAGCTAACAACGTTAACTCTGTTCTCCATAACAAAACCTGCAGGTTCAAAATACCTGTTCAATTTCTTCCAACATGTATCTTCCAAGCCACAAGTTCTAGACTTGCTCTCACATAATTGACTATGAAATTTTTACAAAGTCCCGACCAGATCTATCTCAAGCACACATATCTAGGTTACATGTCAAAGATGTGCAAGCAAAAAATTATGATCCTCATGATTCGTTAACAATGTTAACCTGCAAGATTCACCAGCAGAAAAGAACTAGAAATAAAAAAACCCACAATCATTCTGCACTTTTGGTCTTTGCAGCAGAAACAAAAAGTTAACGGACCCCCAGCTCTAATTGTTGAACTTAGCATAGTGATGAGAAGTGAGTGTATAAAACCAAAGGAGAAGATGAAAACCAACTAGAAAAATGAATTTAACTGACTAAAGACGTAGTATCAGTAAGAAACAACAAAAGCCACTGACGTAAAACTGTCAAAGAAAAGTTAGTCAATGACCATCCAGATTGATCAAAACTTTCCAATTCATATTCTTTTGGTAAACTGAAGTTCTTAATACTTTTCAGCTAGTCACATTTCCTCAACGAAGAAATATCATCTCAGAAATGAATTGAAAAAACGAATAAGTTACTGAAAAATAGTGACATGTACTTGCAAATGAGTGGAAGATTGCAATGATGGAATCCATAATATGTTCACGATCTAACATATGAACTACTGATTAGGACTTTGATCTCCCCAGTTGAATCCCCAATCCCTTTTGCCGAATTTTCTGCAGATTGTCCGCACCAGTGCACCTCAATCATTTCCAGCATAGATATTTCTGCAAAATCATGGGGAATTTTCTCAAGTTCTTTGCAATTTTGTAAGACAAGGCGTTCAAGTTTGGGAAGGTGATCACAAGAAGCATTCCATTGGGCAACGTTCAAACTGTCTAACTTCAAGAATTTAAGTTCCTGGAACTCTTCATCCCCCATGTCCCATATCGGCCCCTCAAAGGCACCAGAAAGTAACTTGAGAACTTCCAGCTTTGGTAGCTTCCCGATTGCCGAGATACGATTCCAGGGTAGGTGAAAGTTTGAAAGAGTCAATTTCCTCAGATTGGACGGGAGAATGAATTCAGTGGTATTAATAGGCCTCCCATAGTAAAAAATATTGAGCGACTCCAAATGAGTTAGAGAACTTAATCTTGGAAATTGATTGCAATTACTGGAAGACTTCCGTGATTCGAAGAAAATGCATTTCAGTTTGCGAAGATATGGAAACCTCTTCATTACTTGTTCACTATCTTCACCACAAGAAAGAGATGGACGGGAAAAGCTGACCAAATTTTCCAACTGATACCAGCCTCCAAGCTCTTCATCATCCAATTTGAATGCAACATGAATGTTCACATGAAGATGCCTTAAACTTGTCATTTGCCAAATAGTTTTTGGTAGGACAACCTTACCACGCAACCCCTTCACAATCAAAGTTTCTAGTTTCCTGAGGTTGGCTATTGATTTTGGGATATACTGCAAGTACCCACTCACTGCTAAATATCTCAACCGAACCAGCAGTCCAATTTCAACAGGAAAGGAGACACCAATATTGATGCTTTCAAAATCCAACACCCGAAGAAATTTGAAGTTGTGACAAATGAATGAGATGTCATAGGGACATCTGGGCTCTGCATCAGTGGAGGCAAAGAATATCAAAGACCGAGTGCCCGGGCCAGAAGGTCTTGATTCAACAAAATGATTTCGCTTCAGAAAAATGCTCAATCTATAGGCCTTATATGTTACAGGAGCTAAATGATCGTGAAAATCAAATTCAAAACCATAATCTGAGCTAGGAAAAGAAGAATATGGTTCATCAGACTTCATTAACAGCTGCAAGAAATTCTCACTTTTGGCCTTCGATCTGCAGAAAACAAGTATAAGATCATGAAGGCGACATGATTTGACCTGCCCGTTGGATCTTCTCTTGGAGACTATTACTAGGCTTCTGTTAATTAGATCCACCAAGTATGCCTCGGCAATATCCTCCAATCTCCTTGATTCAGTGTTTGGAATGAAACCTTCAGCAAGCCAGAAACGTATCAATTTACTCACAGGAATATCTCTTTCTTCCAGAAAAACACCCAAATAAAGAAAGCATGCTCTTAGATGTCCTGGCAAGTGCTTGTAGCTCAGTTCAAAGATTTCATTGCACCGAGCTTCTGGATCACTCATTATTTCGGAACTCAAGCTTTCTAAAATGTTTTCCCAAAATTCTTTGCTCTTTTCTGTCCTTTGCAGAAGACCTGAAATTGTAACAGTTGCTAGAGGTAGCCCACCACACCTTTGAGCAATTTTCTTTCCGATTGGCAACAATTCCTGGGGACAACCTTCTCCTTGGAACACCTTTCCTTCTAACAAAATCCAACTTTCATCCTCAAAAAGTGAGCGAAGTAAATGAGGATCACCATTTGGTTCAATTTCCAAGGCCACGTGACAATGACGACTCGTCATTAGAATCCTGCTTCCAATGTTGTCATCTGGGAATGAATTTTGCAAGTCATTCCAAGCTCTAGCATCCCACACATCATCCATAACTATGAGATACTTGTTTTTCAACAAGCATTGACGCAATTTTGATTCAAGATCTTCGGTAGTCATTTGGCAAATCTCATCAGAAAGCCCATGCATGTCATGTAAAATCTTGAGCAGTAATTCCTTCTTCTCATATACTTGGGAAACATAACACCATGCACGACAATGAAAGCGGCGTGTAACATTTTGATTGTTGTACACTTTCCTAGCCAATGTTGTCTTTCCAAGACCTGGCATTCCAACAATAGAAACAATACCTCGCCTTGAGGATCCTCTGGTAAGTTGATCAATTATAACCTGCTCTTCATCACTGAGATTTACCACCATTTCTTTGATTACTTCCCTTGCACGCTCCTGCGATACCATATCGATTGCAACGCGGGAGACAATGCTTTTTGGGACTTTGGCATCAGAGTATGTCAAGCGAATTCCAGTGGCCAGCTCATTAATAAGTCTTAACTCCTCTAATTGATGATGAAACCAGAAGAAATGCTGCCATTGAGCTTCATCCACAATCGAGTCAATAACATATTCCACTTTATATGCTATCTCAGTAGCACGATCACCAACATCTTTCAGTTCTGGATTCTCATGCATATCCGACTCTGAAACACTGACAAGAAATGAACTCAATGACTTGAGATGTTGTTGAATCTCTTCAACATAATGCTTCAATGGTGCAATTGACACAGGATCATATTTCAGCAGCTCCCCTAGGTTTGTGTATAGAAAATCAATGAACCCCAGTTTGTGAGTCTTGGGAAACTCGAACAAGGGAAATTGGGGGCCAATCTCAATAAGCATTCGCTTACGATGCTTCAACTTGTCTAGCAGCAGCACAGATGAAAGGTTAATTTTCTTGATCATCTCTTTTGCGTCTCTTTTGTTGGCAAGATTCAAGTAAGATAAACTTGTTATCTCCCTCAAAAGTGATTCAATTTGTACAAAGCTTATGTCCATTTCCTCTCTGTCCATCACATTCTTAATTGGTTTCAAAAAAATGAGCTGCTCAAGAAGGAGTGCTATTTGATCTTTCCCATCAGCCACGAAAGTCTCAGCATAATTACTCATGAATGGTAGTGACTCCGTTAAGAATGAATCTGCCCTGAAAATCACAATCTTAAGAAGCATTCGGCGAATAGAGTTTTTTAACATAGATTCTGAGATCTTCTTGGCCTCAAATGACTGACAAAGAGATGCAACCTGGTCGATCACTTGTTCAATGACTGCAAAGGCCTTTTTCCCATGTTCTAACTTCTCGTCAAGTAAATCTTGGTGATCCCTTCTGAGGTTTTGGAGGATCTGACTGAATTCATGTTTGGTTTGGCTTTTCTGAGCTGAAATCAAGGACAAAGTGCTGCTGCTGAGAGATTCATGGCGGAGTAGCTTCTTCAGGAAAAGCTCTGTCTCAAGAAGACAAATTTCAATAAGCAACTCAGAACATGGAGGAACAGGAAGACGAACATCCTCCTCCGAACATGGAGGAACAGGAAGAAAAACATCCTCCTCCTCCTCCACCTCCATTCCCTCTTTCCGTGCTGCCTCAAACAGAGATGCTATCCATAGTAGCACTGCAGTAATTTCTCCACAGGAACTTTGTACTACCTCCTTCTCTTCCACCTCCTCGTGTAACATATTGCCAAGAAAACAGGTTAACAAGGAAGACACACTGTCTCGAATGTCTCCTACTCTCCAATTGAAATAATATTTACAAAAACAACAAACAAGATCCCCAACCTGATATCTTCCTATTTTACAGTGAGCTATAAGGAAATGGAGATGCAATTCCATGAAGTAGGGATTAGTAGGATCAATCTCACGCTGCAAATCCTCCACCACCAGAAGTTCAGCAAACTTGATCTTTTTCCTCTCTTCAAGTGGTGAGTCTGTTGTTGTTGTTGTTGTTGTCATTTTGTAATGGCACCAGTAATTACAAGACTGAATTGCAGTGCGCACAATCACAGATGCAACATGATTCAGGAAATTATCAATAACGCTTCCATAGTTATCACCAGCTGTTGCAGCGAGAAAGTCAAAACCACTACCACATGCACCAACAATGTAATCACGGATCCAGTCTAACTCTTTGTACCAGGCATACACTTGTTTTCGAAAATGCATAGATTCTCCATCAGTAGAATCAATAGTCAGCAACATAAACCGCAGATTCCATATTACAGAGACGACAAAACTTGTCCAAAACGAAAAACAAACGTCACCACCTCCATCGGGAAGAGGACGAGTACAGTTTACCTGGAATGAGCATAATGACAAATGGTCGACAGATTCTTTAATTTCTGTCATCAAGCGCTGAGTTTCTCCTTGGCAACAATGGACTAATTCCAGGACTTCCTCATGATTCAGGTTCTTTATCTGCTTCTTCTCTTCAAGGTTCTGGGCAATCTCCTCAGCTGCAGCTTCAATCTTGAGCTCCACAGCACATGACACCTTAGCAGCATCACTCCACTGGTGAATGGATTCAAGAACTGAGCGCAAAAAACTCCAATCCCTGTTGAGTTGATGGATCCCATCAATGAGGGAGGCTGAGCGGGTGGATTGCAGTGGCGAGCTCAACAACTCCCAATAGTATCTGATCCCATAGTTGACACAGCTACAATCAGCACCTTGCAGCAGAATTTGATTTAGTAACTCCTCCAACGCCATAGAAATGCGAGCAGCAGCCATGATCTCAATCTCAATGTCGATCTTTAGATTCTTGCAAGTACGTATCAGCTTTGTTGCAATGATTGCTACTTCACTTTCTGAATTATTAGGGTACTTTTCACTGTACACTTTTTTTTGGCTGACGTCCAGTTGGCTCTCTGTGTTGGACAAGGGGCAAGGGTCCTGAACTCTATAAATTACATGTTTACCATTATAATTAATCAGAGTCTAAACCATCCAAATTTTTTTTTTTTAATATTTACCATTGTAATCAATTTTTGGCAAAGTCTGAGTCATATAAATCGGGTAAACATTTGCTTGCACTATTCTATTAGGTGAGTCATATAAATCGGGTAAACATTTTGTAGTGCATTCTTTAAAATTGAATTTTGGGCCAAAGTTAGCCCTTAACGGTTTGGAACCATTGCTGCTATAGTGGTCCTGTCCCCCATTCCTCACCACTGGCAATTGGACCGATCTCTAGTCATTGACATTTTTTTGGTCAAAGGACCAAATCTATTTTTCAGAATTTTTAAGAACTAATTTGGTTAAAATCTGAGACATTATGGACAAAAATCAAACTAAGCTGCTCAAAACTTAGTTGGTTTCGGCTCGATTAAAGTTTGTTTGAATTTTGTACGCTAACTAATCAAATCAAACATGAATAACATTTTTTGTTTGATAAACTTTCAAATTCGACTCAATCTTGGCTCTATTAATATTAAATAAAAATTTACATGATTGAACTTAACAAAAGGTTGTTTGAATTTAGCCCAATAAATAATTAATCCAAGTTTCAACAAAATTTCAAACTTTGCATAATAAACAGACAAACTTGAACATTAAAGCATTGGGTATTATTATGTATGTTTACACTCCCAGACAAGATTAATTACCACAATAATACTGTACAGAAATTTTAAAGTTCAAAACTATAGGGAAGGGACTTTAACTTATGGCCCTAGTACTAAACCCAAACCAGTGATGAGTCCAAACTTCTAATGCATAATTATCGAGGGTGCAGAACGCAATTATCTTCAAACAAGTTCACAAGACAGGTGGGCCCACGACCACTAGCTTTTTTTTTTCCAGACACGATAAATGTTATTCTGCACCTACTCCTACTCTACACTAAAGGGAATGGTGGATCCAAGAAGGTCAATAGGGAATCCGGAAGAACTGAATCGCCACCGAATCAGACGAGTCCCTTTGCATCCGTCGATGAAATTTTTAGAAAATTCTGGATTAGAACTAAGGATGGCAACGGGGCGGGGTTGGGTTCCCCCCCCTCCCCCGGCTGCCTACAAATTCCCCTCGCCCCCCTTCCATCTTCCGTCCCCCGCCGGCCCCACCGCGCCCCACTTCCCCTGTGGGTGCCCCCGCAGGACTAATAAAAATTTGTTATATAATTTTATTATAGTTAAATTTTAGCAAATAATCAAGTACTAAAATAACAACATCACCAAATTATTATTCATTGTAATTTCACAATTGAAACTTATAAAAACAATGAAACAACAGTTATTTGAATACAATCCAACATGATGAAATAAATACAACTAAAATAATCAGGTTTTCACTTTTGGCACAAATATAATCACTAATTCATTATTATGCTTTTACTTTTTTTTTGAGAAATAAATGTTATTGTATTAAGTGTAATTAGGGATTTAGTATCAATGTATTAGTAAATTTTGTATAACCAATTAATAATTTCTATTAGTAGACATATATAATTATTAGTATAATTGATAATATCAATCATATTACACATACTAATATACATTATATAATATATATAATTAATAATATCATTATCATAAGTTTGTAACTAATTAAATTATGGGTTATTATCACTTTACCCCCTTAACGTTTGGTGTTACTATCAATTTCCCCCTTAACGTTATCTTTTAATCACTTTATCCCCAAGACTAATGGTCAAACTTAACAGAATTTGTTAATTAAAGTGAAAAAACATGTTTAACCCTTAAAATTATTATTACTTTACCCCCATAAACTATAATCTCATTATTAATTTACTCCATAGAGTTATTTTTAGGCAATTTATTCTATCATTAAACCAACTTAGCAAGTTAAAAAATTTTAAAAAAATATCCTCCTTTTTGTATAATAAAAATAATAAAAAATTTAGAGTGGTTATTCTCCTTTTTAGTATCAAGAAAAAAAAGTCAAAGTATTAATTTATTTCTTCTTGTCAATCTTATTAATGTAAAAATAATAGAAAGATGGAGAAGGGGAGGGGGAGGGGGAGAAGGAGAGAGGGAGAGAGGGAGCTCAATTCTTTTTTTAAAAATTACAAATAAGAAAGAATTAAATACTTTTATTATTTTAAAATTATTTCACTTTTCTGTTTACCATCAAATTTCAATTCTAATCCTGATAACATTAACATAATACGATAATGTTAGACTTTTCTTTATTTTTTTCTTTGCAAAATCTAATTTTCTGTATTCTTCTTTCCTATCTCCTTTTCTTTTTCTAGTATTAATAAGTGTGAAAAAAAAAATTCAAGAAAACCCTTTTATTTTTTATGTTTTTTGATCTCTTAAAGTGAAAAAAAGGAAGAATAATCATTCCAATTTTTTGTACTTTTAATTATATATAAAAAAGGTAAATATATTTAAAAAATTTTGGGTAAATATAAAAGGGTATTTTTGTCCAAAATTTCTTAACATATTGAGTTGAATTATTTATGGGAGTAAAGTGACTAAAAGATAACGTTAGGGGGTAAATTGATAGTAGTGATATAGTTTAAGGAGGTAAAGTGATAATAATCCTTAAATTATATATTATATATAAAAATATATTTTTATATATTTATTTTTTAAAAGCAGGTGGCGGGACGGGTTACACTCCTCCGTCTCGTTTCTAAGCGAGGGGAGGGGGGAAATTCCTCCCATCCCTGTCCCATTAGCCCCCCGCAGGATGGGTGCCCGCGCCCACCCGCCCCTATTGTCATCCTTAATTAGAACTTTTCTAACATGTGGCCCTCAATTCTCATCGTTAAGTATTTCTAACATATTACATACAAAAGATGGGGCAAAGTTGAAAATACTAAGTTCTGGGAACTCCTCTTCCCTCATGTCCCATCTTTGCCCATCGAACGCACTAGAAAGCAACTTGAGAACTTTCAGGTTTGGTAGTTTTCCAATCTGAGAAATACAATCCCATGGTAGGCAAAAGTTTGAGAGAGTCAATTCCTTGTGTTCAATATCTGCCATGGCCTTTTTCCCATGTTCAATCTTCTCAAGGGGGAAATCTCAGACCTATCTTCTCAAGTTTTAGAGGATATGATTGAATTCATCTTTGGCTTAGTCTTCATGAGATGAAATCATGGACAAAGTCCATCTATTGTTGCTAAGAGAGATGTGATGGAGTAGCTTCTTCAAGATAAACTTTGCCTTGAGAAGACATATCTCAAAACATGGAGGAAAAGGAAGATAAACCACCACCTCCTCCTCCATCTTCTCCTTCTCTCTCTTTGTACTACATCAAGCAGAGATGTTGTCCATAGTAGCACTACTTTAATTTCTTCATACGAACTTTGTTCCATCTTCTCCTCCTCCTCGTGTGACATACTCTCAAGAAAACAAGTTAACAGGGAAGACACCTCATCTCGTAAATCTTCTTGTCTCTGTTAGAAATAATATTTGCAAAAACTATCCACAAGATTCCCACCCCTAACATACTCCAATTTTAGACAGAGCTATACAGAAATGGAGGTGCAACTCGATGAAGTAAGGATTAGTAGGATCGATCTCATGTTGCAAATCCCCCACCACTGGAAATTTAGCAAACTTGATTTTATTTCCCTCTTTGATTGGAGGGTTTGTTTTAGTTGTTTTTGTGCTGTAGTGCAGCCAATAATTACAAGACTAGATTGCTATGTGCACAATCACAGATGCAACATGATTAAAGAAGTTGTCAATATTAATTACATAGGGCTCACCTCCTGCTGCTAGGGGTGGGCAAAAAAATCCGTCGATCCGAAAATCCGATGAACCCGATCCAATCCGATTCAAAAAATAGGATATTCGATTCGATTTTTCGTAGCGGGGCATATGAGAGTCGAGTACCCGCAATAAATGGATACAAATACAGAGCAAAAAAATAAAAACCTGACAAGTGTCGAGCCTATACAATAATAATATTTACTCAAGGAAAATATAATTTTTGTATATAGTAGTGAGTATGGTCGAATCCACAGAGATTGAAGATAATTTTTTTCTCTTCAAGTTCAAAATATGGGGGGATTTTTATAAAAATACAAATAATTAAACAATTCAAATAAAAAAACCTAACTAATAATTTACTAAAAATGAAACAATAATAAATAAACTCTAGCCAAAAAATAACTTCGGAGATGGTTCACTCAATTGATTATAGATGCAATAATAATTTCATTCACTCACTGATAAACAAATTATAACCAATGTTGTCAAAATCGCAATCCGGATCGTAGGATCTTACGATCCAGATAACTAAAATCGATCCGGATCCTATTCGGAATCGTAAATTGCATTAATCTACATAAGATCAAGTACGATCCTATGATCCTACCTCGATCCTACAAATTTTTGTAAATTTCTGAAATGCGAGATTCTATTTTGCAAGTAAATGAAAACATTTGGGGTGGGTTTGTAATTTATCAAAGAATTGCAAACTTTAATGGCAATTTTTTAACAATTTGTGCCTCAAAAAGTCAAAAAAAGCTCCTATTCTTCTCATCGTCTCCTCTCCTCAATCCTTTGTCATTTCTTCAGTCTTCAATCTTCACTTTTCACTTCTTCTCCACCACTGTCTGAAACCCTAGTTTATCCATGAAACCACCACCGTTGCAGCTCCTACCAACAAGACGAAATCTCTACGACTTCTACCAAGTACTAACAAGCTACAGCTTCAAGGCTTCAAGCCAGATTTTGGCGGCTTCAAGACAAAATCTCCTCTGTTACCGTTTGATTTTGGCAGACTCAATTGTAGCTCTAGTTTTGATGCTAACAGGGAAATGTCTAAGGTGTTGACTTTTGTGGCAGTAATTCAAGCCCACAATTGTTGACA